CTATCTATCTACCTACCTACCTACCTACCGTGGTCTGTCTAAGATTGCATCATAGATTGGGATTTAGATGAATTATCTTTTGAAAACTGATTCCATGCTTGGACCAAAGAAGTGGAAGGAATCACATTTCGGATTGCTCTGTGCATATTGTTTATTGGTATCCAATTACCAAGTATATTTCCATTGTAAATTTTAATTTTTAATCTTCTCCCCATTATTTAGCATCATTGTAGAAACTGTGGTGAGATCTTCTGTAATGCCTGTTCTGATAATGAACTGCCTCTGCCTTCTTCACCAAAGCCTGTTCGGGTCTGCGATTCCTGCCATGCAATGCTTATACAGAGGTGCTCTTCTAATGTGCCATAAGATTATTTTACAAGATATTTATTACCTTTTGGTATTTAGCTAATCCTGTAAAAACAAAACAAAACAAACCCCAACCCAACTAAAGAATGTACAGCAGTATTTCCAGAATTTCAGGTAAGCAGTTTAGAGTTCCATTTTCAAGGTATCATGGAGGAGTTACTTGTCTGCTTCCTGTTGAAACAAATAGAGAAAATGGCACCCAAGTGTAGAAAATGCACGTGTTACATTGTCATCTGTATTTTTTAGTCTTAACAAATAGCTCAGAAGCTCTTTTGGAGGAAGCAGGGCAGTTTATAGAGGAGACTCAGTGTTAACATGTATTTGATGAGTATCTTAGTCGTTATGATGATCTTGAAAAAGGTGATACACTTACCTGCTTTTACAGGCTAGTCTGCAACAAGTCCAACCTAATTCTGCTGCCGAATGGGCCTGTGATATGCTGTTGTGAAGCAAAACTGCAGTAGCTAGTTTTAAATTGTATTTAAAAAAAGTAATGCAATTAATGCAGTGGTCCGGTAAGTTATTGCCAAATACTGTATTTGTTTATTTCCCCTCAATTATCAAGATTTGATACATCCAAGAATATTGCACTGACAACTCTGTAGTCACAGGTATAAGGGGAGATTTTGTCAGACAGGTAACAAACAGTGCCTCTAGGCACTTGATGAAAGAAGGTGCATTTTGCTGAATTATTTTTTAAAATTAACTATTAATTTGACCTATCCGTGTTTCCATTAAAAGAGAGATGTCCATCACAAAATTTTGCCTGACATTTTCTGTAACCTTGAACAAATACCTTTGCATTATTTTCATATAAGTCATGCTTTCAAGCTTGTACATGGAGTCACTGTATAGCTCTAGAAGCAGAGTGAATCTGCCACCAAGAAAGACGAGGATTAAATACTGGGGACTGCGTCCTTTCTGCGTTGGACAGGAAGGTTCTTCCTTATTTTGTCATCATCTTTCTCAAACTCTGGGAGTTTGCTCCTAAACTTCATTTTTTTCCAGAGTACTTTTGAGTATGTCTAGGTCTGACCACTCTTGACACTGATAGTAACTTCTGCTGGAATGTAAATCCGTATTCTTCCCGTAGGCAAATACAAATACATCCTTTGATAAACTGTCCTCACTTCCACGTCACTGCACTAGAACCAATCTACCCTCTTCCCTTTAGCCACTTATGCGATGGGGCCCAGCCGTGGAATCTCCACGCTCTGGTCAGCACTGACGAGCCATCAGCAGAATTGCCAGCCCACTAGTTCCTTCAGCTATGGGCTTGGAATATTCTTACTGACAGGAAAAGGGAGGCTTTGAAACAGGTCTTTTAATTGTTCTTGCACTTCGTTTAGCTTAGCTTTGTCTTTTGAGGATAGGTATTTACTTAGTATTCTAAAAGCTAATGCAGCTGTTCTTTTCAACACCTCAGTGTAGTTGCTTATGTAGCTTTTGTAAAGAAAAATGTTTTTAAAATTACCTGATGTAACTTTTTGTAAAATACAAAACAAACACTTGTAAATCTGTAAATAGCTTTTGGAAAAAAAATAAATTTAATTGATCTGCAAACTTAACTATGGGAACAATGTCACTTTATTTAAATTTGTCATTCAGAGTATTTTTGAGTATTTTATTATGACTTGTTCAGGTTGCTTAGAAAGTCTTTGCATACGTTGGGGAGTGGGGACCTACCCTGCTAATGATGTAACAAACCAAGCGCTTGCTCACGTGCCTCCTGAAAGTATTCCGAGAGTGTTTTCCGGTGGGCTTTATGTGGGGCAGGCACGGAGGCAGCAGGGTTTGGATCTAGGATATAGATGATGCTAATCTGTACTGCTTTAATAAGTAACTTTTCAAAAAGTATGCAACTAAACAAAATTAATTTTAAAACAGGCAATCTTTTAAAATAAGAATATAGTGCATTTCCGTAACATGCAATAAATTAAATTTCTATTACTTAACGGCAATCTTTTCCTCTCCTCTGTGCTGCCCTATTTGCATGGGAAAATGTCACTGAGGTAGTGTATAATTATTCAGATTGCCTTTACTTACTTTAAAACTTCTGCCTTGAGCAAAACGGTGAATACTGTATGTCCTATGTTTTATTTCCCTTAGCATCAAACTACGTACCTGGCCTGCTTTTAGCAGTTTTTTGGACCACACTATTAATCCTGTGTCTTTGTCTTTCTAGAAAACCCTGTTCTTTGACAGATTGTGATTCTAAATCCTCCTCACACTGAGCAGAGGGAGATCTGTGGGGTACCTACTCCAGTCATCAAAAGAAACTGTAACTGTTCACACAGTATCTGCGCAGCCTAGTTTGTATTCTTCTTGGGAAATTACTTCTGACTTAATGAACTGGGGGCATTAGCAAGTAAAAAGAGAAAAACACGGTGCTCCTCCTCTTCCTGGCCAGGCAGGGATCGTGAGAGCTGTGCCCACCTTCTCGCAAAGGTGGTTCACTTACCGTATTTGCACCTGCTTCCCTGAAAGCAAGGGGAAAACTCGGCTGATTCCTAGCATTCATCACACAACTGCTTGCATCAGCGGGTCTCAGTAGGCACTTCAACTCCTTGTCCTCTTCACAGCAAGGGCTAAAATATAACTTTGTATACAGCAATTAAATCTTCCTCACTGACTGAGCAGTCCGTGTTCATAGGTTTTCTTCTCAAAAACCAATTCCTCTGCAATTTAAACGCTGCTTAAGTGACTTGCAAGGTTCAACGCTTAATGCTGCTCTTGTTACAGGGTGAAGTGTCACTATGGAAGGGACAGGACAGGCTGAAGGGATTCGCTGTCCAGTACAGTGGGATTTCATTCATCAAGACTCAAGTTCAGTGTACTTTTTGCAGATTGCTTGGTTATACAAAATAGCTCGAAGCATAACTCCCAACCTGCTCTCAAAAGGTAAGTCTTAAGCAGGTGTTAGCATTCCTTCTCCTGAAATGGAACGCAAAGTATACCTGAGTGACGAAATGGTACAGAGCCGACGACAGTATTTTACAGGTATCTGCTATGCTGACAGAAAAAAACATGCTTGCACTAAGTGCAAATGTCCTCTACCTTACTGCAACATATTTTTTTCCTGCAACTGGATTAACTCTTGTCCTGACCTTTGCCATCTTAGTTTTATGAAACACACAAGCTTTTGTTCAGTGACAAGACCAAGAACCCACTAGTTTTTAAGAGCATCGCATTAAAACAAAGCTCTGTAAGATCACTGGTGTTAAGATCTCATCTTCCCTCCCCTTCCTATCCAAAAATACTCCAGTACTTGGAAAGCCTCCTATGCCAATTACCCTTTCAGCTATGATTTCCAGTCACTTTGACACAAGAACACACTCTCTAGTGAAATAAACTCCATTCTCCTCTCTCCCACAATAAGACATTTATTACATAGGTAACACAGTACTAGCAAAACAGGTGACAGACTTTTAATACCCAAGATCACATTTGACATTTTAAGGGAGGCATTGAGGACAAAGCAGTTAAATTTGGGAGATCACACTGGCTCAGAAGAATAAATACCTTTTTTCATTACACATCAGGTATGTTAAGTGTCTTCAAACAATAGTTTCTTACATATCTTACATGTCACAAATGCACAAAAAGTTTTATCAACGTGTTTGGGTTGTGTGTTATTTAACAAGTACTGGGCTTATAGTTATTTTAGAGATACTTTGCTTCTAACGAGCTCATCCATAGAATGGCTTGTCAAGTTTCGAACAAATACAGACAAATCAGCTCTGTGCAGCAAAAAAAGACCGAATCATGTTTCAATACAATTTCATGAAGGAAAAAAAGTCTAACTTGCTTCCAGATCCCCCGCTCTTCCCAAAAGCAGCATTTGTGAAAAAAAATACTACATAGATCACTTCAAATTAACTAGTATTTGACCCATTTCATGTTAGCTTAAAGCTGTGCTAGTGTTTTAGTTTGCTTTGCAAGTTACACGTGTGAAATGCAGTAGTATCTAGGGTGCTACAGCAAAGCATGGAAATAAATATCGTTGCTTGGTTTTGGGGAGGCACAAACCTTGGGCACTACTCGTTTATGCAGTTGTGCATTTGAAGATGATGGCAGATTCTGGTAGTACAAGGAAGAAAGCCAGAACGATGACTTAGCCTCCACAGCTTTACACTGTGTTGAGATTATTACATACAACTTATCAAAAGGGTTTAGGAAAGACTGTTGCCAAATAAACCAATCTATTCATCTACCCTTTCCCCCTTAAACAAGTGAATTTTCCAAACTCATTCACTACACCAAGATTACATAGAACTGAATCAGTGTTCATAGGAGTTACAGTACAACCACCTTTATTGAACCATAGTACAACATCTTAAACCGACTGTAGTCTTGAATATGTAATACATCCTTAGGAGTAACTAGTATAAAAAGTATCAACATCAGTGGTTTGAATATAAAAATTTATTTAAAGTCAGAGTATGCAACAAATAAAACCTACAGAAAACAGATTTTCCCATCACAATCTGTTGCTTACCAAATAATATTGTGAAAACACATTCCTTCAGTCATTATAAAGTTCTTAAAATACAAAAGAAATTAAATTTTGTAAGAAAGTCTAGTAGACCAGAGACTGTTTCTTCCAGGATGTTTTGTAGAAGCAAGGCTACCCTTCAATACATTCCACGCCATCCTCCTCCACCCATACTGCCTTGCCCATAGTATCCTCCACTATTTCCACTGCCACGACCTGCAAACAATTGACACAAGGTCACGCATACATACCTTAAAAAAAGAAAAAACGTGATGGGTAATACGGAATAGTTGGTTGAAGATGACTTAACTTCTACTAAAATAACAATACTTCAGCAGTATTTTTCTAAGCAAGCATTTGCTGCAGTAGCAAAATGCATGAAAAACCCAAGTGATTTACAGTTTAAATTAAGCCGCCACCCTCCTTCCCTTTCTCCCAGCACAAATACTCCACAGCACACAAAGCCCACCACCACCCTTCCCGATCATCCATCAGAAGACAGATGTAGCAACACTTCCACAAAATGCATTTAAAACAGAACTTTTACTTACTATATCCGCCCAAGCCATCAGGAGTTCCATATCCGCCACTGTAATTGCTACCCATTCCCATTCTACCAACAGAGCCATAACCTTGATCTGAAACGCAGAAAGTGCATCGTTACAGGCTTGGAACTGATTAGACTGTGCAAAATGTCAGCTAAATCTGGGATTGATGCGTACCCATTCCATCTCTGCCATAGCCTCCCATTCCAGAACCACCTCCAGCAGTTGAATTCAGGAATAGTTCAATATATCGATGCTCTGTAGGAAACAAAAAAGCCTTACTTTGTATTTTTTTCAGAAACCAGAAGCACAGAGATACAAAGCAAAAAAACCCCCCTCACCTTACAAGTAACAGTTAGAAGCCAACAGAAAGTGAGTTTGAAGTGTGATAAATGGTAAAAAGGCTTATGATTTGTCTATTTACTGCACAGCAGCTTAAGTTAAATGCAGTTTAAACCCTTATATACCCCACTAAAGCCTGGTCAATGAAAGCTTCAGGTGAACGCAACACTCACGCATATGATTTTTATCCTTGGACATGGCAGCTACTGCATCCTCATGTGTTACAAATTCCACATCTGCCTCTCCTGTGGCTCTTCCATCTGCCCCGATATCAATGTGAACTCTTATAGGATTCAATGGTGAGAAAAACTAAGAATAAAAACAAACACACACACACACACAAAAAAAAAAAAAAAAAAAAAATCACACTGATGCAGAAGTCAAGCCAGGTACTATTTTTTTTCATCCCACAGTGGTTAGTGGAGCACTGCATTAATTTAATCTCATCCTATCACATAAATTTAACTGCTAATTTCCAAAGTATTACTTAGTGATAGTTGACCTTCAACATCAGGTCAATCTACACTTACAATTTATTATTATTACACAACTTGAAGAGCTCCAGCTACAGAGCTTGAGGAGCTTTCTTTAAAAGCAAAGATACAAACAAAAATTCCTGCTCACACACATTGCTTTAAGCAACAAGTTTAATATGGTGCCATCCTGGAAAAGGAAAATGAATACTTCGTTTCTGAAGAAGCAGAGCCAGATACATTTCTCAAAGCAAGGACATATTTATGGAATTCAAAAAAAGCTGACTGTCAATCAGACCGCTCTTCCTTGCTACAGACCTCAAAGAAATACAGTGGTATTTCTGACTAACAGCCTTTTTACCAAACAGTATGTGCAAACGAACCTTTGGTATACTACTGAAGTACTACTCATCAACTTGCAGTAACATGCTCTGAATCAAAGCCTGAAGTTTGGCCCTCGTTCTCCGAGAGTCTTTAGACTAAAGAGAACAATCGAACTGATAGAAGAAATCTAGCTCAATTAAAAAAACCCCAAACAAACAACACCCTCCCGCCCCCCCCCCCCCCCCCCCCCCCCCCAAGAAAACAAGCACAAAATTAAGAATGGAGTTCTGCCTATATAATATAATATACAGGCGCAACTAATAAGGATGGAGCCCCCCTGTAGAGGCTATATTTAAACCAGGCCTTATATCCCAGGAAAACTTTTTCCCCTACAAACAACACATCTATACTGACACAAGAACGTACTCCCAAAATCTTGCAGACATGCTTTTATCTGCCACCCTGATCTCTTACGAGTAACGGGATACTGTCCCCTCCAGCTGGACACAGCTCCCTACAGTCTTCCCACCCTGTCCCTCCTAAAGTAAGTCTCAGGTCAACAAACAAATATACAAACTACAATCAAAGTTTCATATCTGCTATCGCTCTTTTACAAAATTATAAATCTTCAGTTAAGCTTAAACAAACTTCTGAAAGCCTTAAAATGAGGGTGCTGATTGCAACAACTGTTCTCTCTCCGATACACTTTTTATGGAAATGAAAGAGCAGAGTAGAGAGACTAATATTAAATATAGTTTGGCTGACTTCTTCAGTAATCTTACCTCAGACATTACCTTTATAAAAGCTCATTTACTACTAAGCTTTGTAAAACTCACATAAAGGGCTGTGACTTTAGCTAGCAGCTGTATTAGAGCTATCAATCACTTGCTTGAGAACTTTAACTGAGTTTGGAATAGGGAAGACAAGAACATGCAAACTCTTGGCATTAGAAAGCCCTTTTTCCCCACTGTACTTACATTAGCAATATCATTTTCTGTTGCTCGAAAAGGCAGTCCTCTCATGTGAACAAAATGACCGCCACCATGGAAACCTGACCCTGCATCTCCAGCTCCACCATAGCCATGTCCTCCCATGCCTATTAAAAAACCCAAACCAAACAAAACCACACACCTGTAAGATCATCATGAAAAGCCAGAAAAGTCATTACTACTGTTTTTCTGAAAGCACTCACTTTATGCCACTGAATATAAGATGTTTACACTTCCTGTCTATCAACCCAAACACTTAACCAGAAGATATCCTAAGCAATATATTTACATTTTCCCCGAGATTCCCCAATTCCCCTTTTTTTAAACAACCTCCTTTCTTTACAAAATAATCTAATGAAGAAAGTGATTATTTCTGTCTTCGAAATACTAAGTCTTACAACTCAAATAATATAAAAATCTTTCTAAACAAAATTTTTTTTTTTACCTCTCCCATCTCTCATTCTGTCATCATAGCCATCATTTCCATAGCCGTAGTTGTTATAACCACCATAATCATCAAAGCCACCATATCCTGTGCAATGGAGAGAAAGAAAGGAATGATTACGTTATTACTGAAAGTTCACCAAGCGATGCACAAGAGCCAATTTTTCAATCTTTGGGCACCCAGAAGTTTGCTAACAGCCTCTACAGTCTGTTAAACCTGGATTTCTGAACAGAGTGCAAACGTAAAATTCCTTTGATATAGTAAAAAGACTGAAACATGCAAGTGAGAGATCAAATTCTGCTGAAAATACAGTTTCCTTATTACTTCCCTTAATCTTAAACACTAAGCCACATTTTTTGATACATTACAAGTAAAAATTTTTTGAGAAGTGTGTCAAACCTAATGGGTACTGCAGCTACTGCCATTTCTTTATTTCTTGACAAAGATGTCAGAAACATGAAACTGACAACAGAACCTCCATTCATTAGATAAACATACCACCGTCATATCCACCACCTCCTCGACGCATTCTGTCATACATACTTCCACGCCCAGCTCCATAATAACCCCCTCTTCCTCCTAATGGTCTATCATATGGTCCGGGTCGTTGTTGTCCCATCATCCGTCTTGGCATGTCACAGAATCCTCTGATTTCGCTCTTACTACTTTTGAAGATTTCAATGTATCTAATAAAAGAGGATTTTCAAGGTACCAATAAGAATACACGCATGAGCTGTCTGAATAGTATAAAAGGCCATACTACGTTTTCTAGAACTAAACGTACAATCCAATAGAAGTGACTAGAGATACCATACAACTTAAGTTTCTCCTCAAAACCGTAAGAATCTTAAGTGTATAAAACCAAAACAAAACACTTTACAGTGGCAAAAATTACTATGTGAAAATTCTAGCTGTACAAATTAAGCATAAAACATGTCTTTCCAGTATGAAAAACATACTGTTGAAAAACAATGTCTAGCTATAGTAGCATTTATCACAAATTACCCTATGCAAGAACGATTGAAACAATTTTCTGAGTTTAGCAAACTACTCAGAGCAATACTGTCTCCCCCACCCCCCAAATCTACTGTAGTTCCCAAGTTAACTTAGGATCAGTTATATAAAAATTCTTAAAAACAGCCAGTTCCATATAATGGTCCCCAACCCCCCCAAAAGCATTACTGACCCACAACCCCCAAAAATAAAGATTTAACACCATCCCAAACTCTCCATCCCCACCTGTGCCCTATTCTTTCCTTGTGTTTCCCCAGAGCATTTTCTGCTATCTCCTTTGAAGCAAACTGCACGAAGGCCTCCCCTGTGCTTCTCCCCTGGTAGTCCAGCGTCAATGTTATCCCATTTGGCACGATTTCCAACCCTTTAACCCAAGGACAAATAACCCCATCAAGGGGAACAGTGTTAAAGGCTGAAACATTCCCATCTGTAGCAAATACTTAAAGCATATCTAAACAACAACAACGAAAAAGAAAACCACCTTGTTTCCCCCATCACCCAACAATACAAGCCAATGATCTTTCATTAAACATTTATGGATTTAGCCATACTTCTTTTCTGTTTAAACTATGCAAAAATACAACCACCTAAGTTACATGAAGAAAATATAGCTACCAATCAAGCAATTTAACCGATCCAAATGCTAACATTGAGGTTATCCCAATATGCATAATATGTTTACCACCTCAACAAAATTAGATACATACTGTGTTTTACTACATCTATGGTTATTTGTACTTCATTTACAGGGCACAATTCTTACTTAAGATAAACTAATTTAACACAATCCCTCCCATCCACCCCATTAACAGCTATTACAAATTAAAATGTGCAAAACATTGCATAAAAGATACAAGAAAACTCAGTCACTATACTTTGACTACACTAGAGGTACCTTGGAAAAACTGAACAATCTCTTCTTTGCTGCAACCAAATGGCAGGCCTCGAAGTCGTACCACTGTTCCATCATTAGTTGTATCGTTTGGCCCATTATGTTTTCCACTCCAGTCCATCTTTTACTTAAACCAAACCCCTACAAAAAAAAAAAAAAAAAAAAAAAAAAGAGGAAAATTTTTGAGATTCCATATATGCCTAAGTCCCTCCCCTCAAAAGAAATCTGGTAGTTTTTCTTCAGATAACTAGTATTATGGATAACGAGCTTTATTTCTGTTACGTATTTAAAATTGTACTTTATCACAGCTACAGCACACACACACCTAAAACGACCCCAAACTCTGCCAGGGAACACATCGTGTAGGGAAGGCAGCACGTGGGTAGGCACCGCACATAAAGCTCATTATTTGCTCAGAGTACATTGAACATCCATCCTGTAAGGTTTTTTAGGAGTTTTTTTTGTTATTTTGGTTTTTTTTCTTTCTTTTTTTTTTTTAAGCATGACAGTTGAAGAAGGGATGGGAACCACGCAACGGTTCCTGCATGGAAACACAAGGCCTTCCTTTGTCTGCAAACAAAGCGCCACGGGCCACGCTCCCAGTTGTTTTTTGTTTGGTTTTTTTTTTCCCCCTTCCGGAAGCACCCGATGCGTTATACCTCGAATTACAAGGGCC